TATATATATATTAGACTTTACTGTCAAAAGTTATGTTCACAATCAAAACATTTTATGCAAAATGTACCATTTTTAGGTTGTAATTTGTGAGCAGTTTTTAATAAAGGATTGTTGACATTATTTAGAAATCAGATTTGGACCTTTGACTGTAATTATTTAAAGCACCTGCTTTAACACACTGTTCCTGTATGGCTTGTTTCATTTCACAATCCGACCTCTGGTATAATTAGCTTGTTCTAATTTGGTGCATCAAACATCCATGGCTGTTTACAGGCTGCAAAGTAAACCATGAGACGTGACACAGAACCACTTGTTTGACTCAAAATAGTCGCATTTAATAAGAAACGATTGTTCTCTAAACCCACTTCATACACTGAACGTGCAATTATATATTAGCAACTGTAATTATGCTCAGCAGATCTGTCAAGTGTTGTATTTGTTCTTCATGTAATGCAATAGAAAAGCAGAAGGGTGTTTTTGAGCCTTACCAAACATAGGGACAAATAAGAAGACACTTTTATTAGTGTGGAAATAAACTTCATGATGTCTGATTGTTACTGTTAATAAAACGACGGCATTTATGAAAGTCAGAACGTGCCTTTAGGACCCCTGTTCTGTTGCTCTCGTGTCGTTCTGTTGGTTTCACTGCATTTTTATGTGGTGGTTTTGTGCCATTAGGTGCCTGCTGTCTGTAATTGTAGGATTCAGCAGGGTGTTGTCACCCATTCATTTAATTATTTCTCATGTTGTATGCTGGGTTGGGAATAAATAAAATATCCTGCTTGTAACCAGGTAACAGCGATGTGAAAGGGTATGTTTTTAACTAAAAGCATCATTTTCTGATGCTAACCAACTATGTTTAATRCACATTATCACACTTTGGCAATGGTAATGGGAGTGCAATAATGTAATGATGTTTCTACCTGTTAGTTCATGTGTTCGTACTATTGGCAACATGCATGAACAGAACTTACAGAAAGTAATCACCTAGCCACCAGCCTAATTAAAGATGGCCACCACAGCTAATCAGTCATAAAAATACAATATTTTTTATATATTTTTAGTAACCTGCTTAATGTTAAAATAATCTGTCTATGCATTTAGTCACAGTGTAGGAAAACTTCTCCTGTTTTACTGTCTGTACTTGTTTTATTTGATCTATCAGAGACCCGATGCAGACCTGGTCTTCCTTCCTTTCAGAGCTCTGCAGCTTTTAGACGCTGCACAAGACTTCATTTCCCAAACCGCCCATTTTGCGTCGCAGCTGAGCAGCTAAACTGTAATGAAATCTTGGGAAACCGAGTCGACAAACAGTACCAGTGGCAATCAATGCTGGCCTGTCTTCCCACGGCAAAGCAGTAAAATGTCATTGAGCTGTTTTCGGTGGAGCAGAATCCAAGCCAGATAATCACAGTATGCTCTCCGGGTAAAATTGACTCAAGTATCAAGGTCACTGTCTGTTATTCACATGCACGCAAAGATTCAAATTTAGTTTAATCACCCATCTCAGACATGAGCGCTCTCCTCTGCCACCCTTTTTGTCTCCTGTTCGGTCTTACTTKSC